TTGACTTCCTTGAATAAGACGCCCTTCAATTTTTAGCTTAAGGATTTTAGAAAAAAGTATCGTTTTATAGTTGGAAAAATACAGTAAATAAAACTGAATGAAGATAAATCATATCAACTGAATTTTGCTTGCCATTAACATAGTCAGACCAGAGTTCCTTCAAAGATGGGTACCGTATATATGAGAGGAAAGAATAGGGAGGATCTGAAAAGAATAATATTCCAAAATTCACTTAAAGGCAATATTAGCTCCTACTTACATGATTCTTAGTCACAGCAAGGTACTGCAAATTTGTTAAATATTGGATTTCATCAGGAATAGAGGTTAGCTTGTTGTAACTCAGATCCAGATGATGTAGCTTTTTGCAAAGAAAAAGCTGTGGTGGGATTTTTTTAATGTTATTGTGATTTAAATAGAGCTGCTCCAAGTTTGCTAAGGTTCCAATCTGTACAGGGATGTAAGAAATTTTGTTGTGCCACAATTTCAGGCAAGAAAGATTTTCAAGGTGTTGAAAGCTAATAATTTCTTCTACTGTTCGGAGATTGTTTTCTTTCAAATCTATTTCACGCAAATAGTTTAGGCTGAAAATAGAATGAGGAATTCGCTCCAAATCACAGCTGATCAGTTCCAAGGTTCTCAGGTTTAACAGTTTCTTCAAGTTGGTCAACACTAACAGTTTTCTTCCCTCATTGTCAATAGATAATTTCTGTAGTGAAGGCAATTGGTCTGTAACCACCTGAGGTATGCGGGAAAGGCTATTCTTTAAATGAATTGCTTTCAGATTTACAAGATCCTGAAAACCCTCATTATAGAAGCCATTCTGGAGTTCTGGCACATAACATCCAGTCAAATACAGTTCCTGTAAGTTTTTTAGATAGAATACCCAGCGTGGAATCTTTCCCATATCAACAGATTTTAGACGTAGAATTTTTAGATTATCTTCAAGGAAGTGCAGTGCTGGATATTCTACAGTTAATGATGAATGATAAACGTTCAGTTCTTTAAGATTGGATAGCTGGTTTAGAGATGATGGAAGTTTAACCTCGGGAATAAGTTCTAGGGTTAGAACTTCTATCTCTGTGAGTTCAAAGATATCATCTGGAAGACCACTCAGCATAAAAAGATGAAGTTCCATTTTGTCTTGAGGATTTCGTACCAGCTTGCTCTTCAGTCTCTCTAAAGACCACTCATTATTGAGACTAATTTGCTTCAACTTATTTTCACTCACCTCAGAGAGAAATATTGAGAACCGCTTTGAATATAGAGGATCATACTGGTCTGCTAGATGGAGAATAAAGGCAAAGTCATTTTTTACATCAGGGATATCACTGTAATTACTCTGCTCCCTCAGCTTCTCAAAAGAATATTGTTTAAGTGAACTTCTCAGCATCCATAACAAACTGTAAGTGCATGTCAGGCCATATAAGATCACCAGGACAACATAAAATGAAGCAAGCACTTTAAAAATTTCAGCCAGTGAATAGACACATTGGTATCGCTTGTAGCCAGTAAAGATTCGAATATCAACTATACAATCAATTTCTAGGTTAATAAAGGTTAAATAATATGGAACATAAATCATTATTAAAATGAATACAACAACCTTGATCACAATCTGTTTTAGATACACTCTATAAATGACATCCTTCTGCTCAACATGTACCCTAAATCGTTTCACTTTCTCAAATATTGACTTTGCTTGTTCCCCTTCTCTTCTGTCAAGAACATTTGAAGAACTCTCTCTTCCAGCTGTTTCTAGTCCAGTCTGTGAGTAGGACACCGATTGCCTCTTGCTCTCCAGCCCTGTTAAGTTGCTTGGGGAAGGAAGAAATTTTTTAGATTTGGAGAATGGCAGAGTTCTCACAGATTGTTCAGCAACTGTTTCTGATAGGGCACGTGTGGTCCAGGGAGAATCAAAACATTTGTGAAGTATGGCTACAAAATGCTCTAGCCTTGAACTTGTGCTGGGATAGTAAAGCCAGAAATTACTACAAGCTGCAAAAATGAAAGTATGGAGAAGCACTAAGTATGGAAAAAATTTGGCAAACCAATGAAGTTCTCTCTCATAACACACTGCATCAATGTAAGAATACTGCTGCCTATGAAGGTAATTCTGGATTCTAAGAGGATGAATTTCTGGTGTTGCAGAGCTGAAGGATTCATTGATGTTGCTTTTAACCAGATGCCAAGGCACTGCACAACGATTGTCAAATTCAAGCTTGCAAGGAAGACAACATAACAATCTAGTTTGAGTGAGTTGAAGAGCCCCAGCAAGGACAGCAACAAGCAGCATTATCATGGTAAGATAGTAGCAGAAGACATCCCACCATGGTTTCAAGATGTGGAATGATGCCTGGGCATCTGCTAAACATCTGAGTTCAGTTAATGTAATCATGACTTGCTTATGACGCAGTAGCAACTGGAAAAGAAAAACAAAGAAAGCTTAACTGAATTATCTGGATAGAAAGTAAAATTCTATTACACTAAACAAAAATGCAGCATTAACATTTTAAACATATCAGCAGTCTTTAAATGTTATTGCAAGAAGCCATTATCTACACAAAGAAATGCAATTTATATTTAATTGCAATTTTGTCACAAATGAAACACTTCTATGAATGTGTGTCATTTTCTGTCCTAAAAGACAAATCTTATCTGTTATTGCATGTATTAACTCAATTGTGGTACAAGACTTAGTATTCTGAGATATTCATATTCTTTTCAACTACATTCCTTTTGCATGGACAAAGAAGGTAGATTTTCACTGTCGTATTTACAACTAAATGACTTATTCTTCAGTATTGGAAGGATAAACATATGCCTCAATTACTCAGAGTCAATATTATTAGCAACATATGAACAAAATACCTTCAGTGTTAGCTGTGGATGACTATAATGAAATATGGTTACTATTCACTGAAATGTTTATGTAGACTTTTTATATATGCATACATACCCTACATGTATTTGTTTCTTTTTTAGTTTTTAGCTTTTTACTGTACTTATGTACTTTTGGTTTTTTTCTCTATTAAACTAATAAAAACAATTACAGTGCAGTACTGTAAAAATAAATCTATTCTCAATTTAAGCTATTTAATCAAATTTTCTTTTGTTTGTTTGTTTGTTTGTTTGGGATACAAATTCCCAGAGTTTCCCCCCTTTTAATTTCAGTTTTATATGATACTTAATATTTACATGGTTAACTGTTAAATAAGATCATACAGTTTGTTAATATTGGTATAATATGAAGTGATTAATTCCTCATTTGTATTTTTTATTTCTACCATTATGGCATTACCATTATTATTTTGACTGTTAAATAATTCAAAGAAAATGCTATGAATACATTCCACACCAGCAACACTGACCAAACAGTATAAGTTTAATCAAGGAGCAAACAAGATAACATTGTGTTCACCGTGCACTATTTCTGTACTGAATTATTTGCTTTAAATTACACATTAAGTGAAATGATAGGTCTCTTACTTTGAGCAGCCCTTTCTGCTCTTCTTTAGAGGGAACATCTCCTAAATCAGCCTTTATCAACCTTTTGACCCTGGAGGAACCCTTGAAATATTTTTCAGGCCTTGGAGAACCCCTGCACATTCAGGCTCAAATATAGGCCAGAAGTTACAAATTATTATATTCGTTTCATGTGTAGGCCTGTATGTATGTATGTATGTATGTATGTATGTATGTATGTATGTATGTATGTATGTATATACTATATATGCATTAACAGTGTT